TGACACCCAAGTATTTGTAAGTAAGTTCCTTGGTTATAGGGTTATTATTTATAAAATACTGAGATTCAATTTGTTTCCTTTTCTTTGTAAAACAAAGGTTAACACACTTTTTGTGATTTAAATTCATTTTCCACGTAGAGCACCAACTTTGAATACGATCAAGGTCTGCTTGCAACTGGGCGACATCATCTGAACTCTTAATCTTTCTATACACTACACAATCATCAGCAAAAAGTCGAATACAAGAGGAAATTCCAACAGAAATATCATTAATATAAATTAAAAACAAAAGTGGACCCAGGACAGAGCCCTGTGGAACTCCTGATGTTACATCAACGTAATCAGATTTCTTACCATTCAGTACTACACATTGACGACGCTGGAACAAGTAATTTTCTATCCATCTAAGCACAGCCGAGTCTAGATTTAACATTCTTAGTTTGTTGAGAAGAAGTGAGTGTGAGACCGTGTCAAACGCTTTTCTAAAATCCAAGAATATACAATCTATTTGCCCTCCCTCATCGACATCAGATGCAAGGTCATGATAAAATTCAACAAGTTGCGTAGTACATGAAAACCCCTTACGAAAACCATGTTGTTCATTAATCAGCAAGTTGTTTCTTATCATATGACCGATTACCTCTGAAAATAAAATATGTTCGATGACTTTGCATGAGACGGAAGTTAATGAAATGGGCCTATAATTTACGACGTCTTTTTTTGGCCCCCCCTTATGGATAGGGACGACATGAGCGACCTTCCAGTCATCTGGCAAAAGTCCTGTGTCCAGTGACTTGGAAAAAATTAAATAAAGGTAAACCGAAATTGGGTAAGCACATCGCTTTAGTACACGCGGAGAAATGCCATCCGGTCCAGTTGCTTTTGTTTCATCTATGTTCTTTAACGCCTTCTCAATACCACTCATGCCAAGCTCAACTGGCTGCATTAATTCCACCGTACTAACAGTGGATGGATTAACATAGTTGTGTTTGGGCAAAAAGACAGACTGAAAGTAATTATTGAAGCACGTTGCTTTTTCTGTATCATCCGAAACTGTCTGTTGATTATATGTAATTTCGCTTATTCCTACTGCATCCGATCCACATCCCTTTAAATACTTCCAGAAAAGCTTGGGGTTGGTTTTTAATCTGTCATTGAGTGTATTAAGATATTGTTCCTTAGCACCCTTTATGCTCCTTTTATATTCACGCGTAAGCTCAGCCAGTTTTTCAAGGTGATTACTACTTTTGGTCTTCTTATATCTATCAAATGCTCTCCTTCGCTTTTTAATTATCCTAAGAGTACTTGAAGTTACCCATGGTTTTCTTCGTTTTTTTAGCTTTCTAGAATCTATGCAGGGAACATATTTATCCGTTAATTGAAGCAACATTTTCTTGAAAACATCCCATAAATTATGGACATCATATTCCTCAGAAAGACACTCAAATACGGGAAGGCGGTCAAGAAGCTCTTCAGAAAACCCAGAGTAATTGCCCTTCTCAAAGAAAAAGACTTTCCTCGATTCGCATGAATTTACTCGTTTGATTTCAGTTTGGATATTTGCCACAACAGCGTGATGGTCACTGATACCAGGGATAATATTAACGGTGTTAATAAGATAGGGAGAGCTACAAAACAAGAGGTCTAAAATGTGATTATTCCTTGTTGGCTCACTCACATACTGCTGAAGCCCAAACGTATCCACAATGTTTTTCATTTCAAGATTATTTCGGCTACCAATCGTGCATACACAAGTGCCATCCCTCCACTCTAAGTCAGGCAAATTAAAGTCTCCCGCAAGGAGAATAATTTGGTTTGAGGCCTCAGAAACAATGTCGTATAGCGATCGGATTATACTAAGATCCGAATTCGGTGGTCGGTAATACGATCCAAGAACATAGGAAGAGCTACCAGGTAACGTGACTGTACACCAGATTGATTCAATAGCGTCATGACCAAGTTCGAGTGGGGATGATCTCAGCGATGAATGAACCAACAAGAAAACGCCCCCGCCGAGGCGTGACCTATCTTTTCGATAAGAAACAAACCCTTTCGGAAAGACTTCGCTATCACTTATGGAAGCGTCTAGCCATGATTCGGTTCCGAACACGATATCAGCCTTTACCGAGTCGATCAAGCCTGCCAATTCGTCAACTTTATTTACGATGCTTCTACAGTTTATTACAACAGCAACTAGGTCACGATGAACGCGCTTTTCTTTTTTTCCTTTTTTCGTGGGGCGTCAGTCTTTTTTGACAGGAACAACTTGTTCTATTTCCGTATCCCATGTAAACACTTTATCATTTACGATGAGCTTATCAAAGTTTAGCTTTACACGGTTGCCACTATCCGCTTTTTTTGTTTTAGCATATTCCCAAAGTTTCTTTCGAATTTCACGGGTTTTCGGCGAGTAATCTTGGTCTACACTGTAGTTTGATCCCTTGAACTTTTTGGCGTTAGACAGAATATCCTGTTTTTCCTTGTAGGAGGCAAAATTAACGATGATTGGTCGTTTAAAGTTCTCATTATAGCGACCTACACGGTGCGCCCTTTGCACCGTTTTTAGGTCCACACCGAGCTTGTCTTTACAGATACTTTTAATGAGATTTTCAGATTCATTCCATGTTTCTTTGTTATTCGTGTCATCGACACCATAGAAAACAAGGTTTTGCCTACGACTTCTGTTTTCTAGATCAACATTCCTGTTTTCCAATTCGTTAATTTGTCTTGCCAAAAGCTCAATTAGCTTTGCTTGTTCTGTTACTAATTGATTAACGACCCCGATTTTCCCCTCCGTACCAACAAGCTTCTTATTTATTTCCTCGATCATGTTTTCATGCTTCTTAAACCTACTGTCGATAGCGTCCAGCTTACTCATAATGGAAGCCTGACCGCTCTGCAAACTTTTAAGAAGGTCAATTTCTACTGCGTCAAGGGGGCCAGGGTTAAGTTCTACATCCCCGGAAAGTAGCAACAAGAGAAACAGGTAAAGTACTCGATGTGCAAAGAGGCGAAAATATTTGCGAGATATACGCAGTCTCAATCGTCTGCCACAGAAGGTATCAGCACTTGACGTGGGAGGAGCCGGCAACGCAAACAGGGACTTTCGAACACAGATAGGACTGTAAGGACTAACCTGCGTGAACAACAGTAGTGTTAGCTGCATGTCGCCAAGCGTGCCGGCTCCAAATCCCACGCAGTCAAAGTGCCGTGCGCTTATGTAGCCATCGACGAAGACACGTGGTGTCCCTTGCTCGAAGAAGATTGGCAAATCCAGTACGACGATCGACTTATCGAAGGAGCCGTCGCAGTCGGTGATGACTGGCAGATCCTCTTCGGCGATGCCCGGCGGCACGTGCAGTCCGGTGATAACCGTCGTAGAAGGTTCGGGTACGTACGGAAAAGCATCCCCTTTAGTGACCGCGCCGAGCGGAGCAGTTGCTCTGAGGGACGTAAGAACCTGCGTGAACAACAGTAGTGTTAGCTGCATGTCGCCAAGCGTGCCGGCTCCAAATCCCACGCAGTCAAAGTGCCGTGCGCTTATGTAGCCATCGACGAAGACACGTGGTGTCCCTTGCTCGAAGAAGATTGGCAAATCCAGTACGACGATCGACTTATCGAAGGAGCCGTCGCAGTCGGTGATGACTGGCAGATCCTCTTCGGCGATGCCCGGCGGCACGTGCAGTCCGGTGATAACCGTCGTAGAAGGTTCGGGTACGTACGGAAAAGCATCCCCTTTAGTGACCGCGCCGAGCGGAGCAGTTGCTCTGAGGGACGTAAGAACCTGCGTGAACAACAGTAGTGTTAGCTGCATGTCGCCAAGCGTGCCGGCTCCAAATCTTTCGTACTTTGCGCGAATACCGCTTAGAACAAATCCCTGACGTTGTAAATGACCCATGGAACACGCGTTCGTTTTTCACCACACGCGACAGAAGTCGCGGAAGAAAAAAAAATTCACGCAAAACGAGCAGCGTTCATCCCCGTCGACTCGCACCACGGTGACTCGCACCTAGAACAAGCGGCCACGTGATCTTATATGCCGCCAAATTGTTGATCATATAACCACGCGCTGGGGTTGGCAAAGCACGGGACACGCGCTAAATTCCACCAGTTATGGCTCAGCTCATTGAAGCGATTGGACCAGGGTCACTAATAGACCGATCTCACAGCCACTTTTACTACGCCACCGCTGCCGCAATGCATCGAGGGAGCTTCAGTCTTTCTGCACGTGCGACAATTTCGCTGGAGCTGTGCGCGTGTGGAGGATGAGGCGGCACGAGCCGTCCTGTGTGCTGCTGCCTGCCTCCTGCGAACTAAAGTTATGGCGGCGTCACGCATGCGCCAAACGCTTGGTGAGATCTTTCTATTGAATGCTTGTCGAGCTATTGAATATCACGAGCTCAAATTGAATGCTTACGCAATGCTCAGGTCCAATCTACAAGCCGGATTCAAATATCGTCATGGGGGGGGGGGGGGGGGGGGGGACTGCTACTTTACAGTTACGACATCAAGTTTAGCGGAGAGATTAAAAGAAAACGTTCGCTTGTGTCCTTGAAATTACATCGCAACGAAGGGGTTTCTTGGTCACTGCCAGTGAGCTCGAGCGAAGTGGAAAACATTCCAGGCGAATATCGTTGCACGACCCCTCTAAGAACCCGGTAGACGCCCCGTCCCGAGAGCGAGCCTTCTGCATTTGATCATTGGCTTTGAGCGCAAAACGGCAATGCGAGTTTTCTGCGCTCATTGCCCTTCACCGTGCTTCGTCGCAAGCACAGCCAAAGCACTGTGAAAGGCAATAAGCGCCTGATGCAGGTGGAACTTCTAAATCAAAAGGGTTTCAGGGCTACCCGATAGATGGCGCCAGTGTGCCAATGTGTACACTCGTTGCCAAGCCGCCACATGTGGTCGTATAGTGCGGTCGATCACAGTCAAACGCAAATGTGTGATCCAGCCTTAACTGTTAGCATTAAACGTTAGGTTCAATGTTCCAAACCCTACAGCCGAAGACGCGGAGGAAGCGATCAAGCATGGGCTCTCGGCCATCTTAGTTTCCAACCACGGCGGTCGACAACTGGACGGTCTCCCATCAACTGTATGTCCCACTGCTGCTGCTTGGTTTACTTTTTTCTCGCTAATGCAGGCATCGCCATACCGTTGTGGCATTTTTCTCCGTATTTCGTGAAGTTTCACGACCTCCGACCACAAAAATCTGATGATAGCCCGTGGTGCGAACAGATAAGTGCTCCGCCATTGTGTAGATGCTTCTTTTTCCCTTAACTCCTGGGCAATGTCTTGTTCCTTTTTTTACAGCGGAGCTGTTAGGGGCTAGGTTCCCCAGGATCGTGTCCGGTATGTCGACACAAACCTACCTGGACAGCTACCGCCATCTATAAGCGACGGCGGCAAGCACACAACCAGTATGGTTTCCGCCGTCGCTCGTAGATGGCGGCAACCTTTCCAGCTATCGAAGCTCCGCTGGCCTTCCTTCTTCACGAGAGTGGAAAGGCTGAACGTTTTCTAAGAATGCATCTTCCCTGAGCAGTAGTTTGAAATGCCTATGGCGTTTGTTAATTGTTAATACTGTTAATATGTTGTTACTTTTTTTAGACACCCTCCAACGATGTATGTTTTGCATTCGTACTAGGGGTTTTCTTTCGGTGTTTGTGTCGCATTAAGACGCATAATTAGTAATTACACGTTTATTTTAAACGCGCCCCTCCTGCTTGGGTCAAATGTCTGGACCGCACTACTAAGAAATAAATATTCAATAAATAAAATTTGGAGGGACGATGTGAAGTCCTATTATTATCTCAATGCTGGTTGTGTGTTCGCGTCTAATCATTTTTGTGACTGTCGTTCGTTGGACACGACCTATTAGATAGGAGAGATTGGTCCCTTCGCGTTATCGCGGGAAAATAGATATCCGAGCATTTTCATGGCGCGTGTACTTGTTGACATATTCGCCTCAATCGTATTCCACGTCAATACGCCCATCCGGGGGCAATTATTAAACGAAGCGATCGGTATGTACTACCTTAACTTAAAAACGTTTCTTCGTATGAGCAGGCGCTGTATGAGAGCACGTCAGCTATTTCCTCGTCACGCAGTGGCTAAAGCTCGAAGTACGATTGGGTTCGGCAAGGAGAGTGGCGTTACCTCTACACCCTCCTCTGACACTCAGTCGCGGAGGAGGCCGGAGAGGTAGCGAAACTCTCCTTCCTTATACAAAACTCGAGCTTCGAGCTTTCGTCGCTTGGTGTCGTCCTTATATAAAAAAAAGTTCCCTTCGGAAGTCAGATTTTCATGAAAAATGGGGAGTTTTCGAGGATCGTTTCCGCTGTCTCGCAACGCCCTCCGCAACCCGTTACGAGATCGGGAACTCCTCGATCGAAACTAGCGGCGCGCAAGCGCAGTAGCCATGTCTTTGCTGCGGAAAGCGTAACGAAGGAAGAAAAACGGTGTACGAAAAAACTCCCGGAGCTTTAGTAGACCGTTCCTATACCTCCGATAACGATACCCGATGACGACACCATGCATGTGCAAAGGCGTCGGCCGAGTATCGGGTATGGTTATCGTGACCATCGGAGCGATCTACTAAAGTTCCCCTATATGTTATATCTGGTTGAGGGCGTTCTTGCGGGTTCGGAGGGGGGAAAGGACTGCCCTCTGTGCCCCGTTTGGTCGTAGATCGAGGCCCTCCCCGAGGTCGTGAGAGCGGTTCGGGGTCGCGTCGAGGTCTACCTGGACGGAGGCGTGCGCCGAGGCACCGACGTCGTCAAGGCGCTGGCCCTGGGAGCCAGGGCGGTCTTCGTCGGAAGACCCGCCATCTGGGGACTGGCGTACAACGTAAGCCGAGAGCACGCGCGCGCCATGCAACCACCCATTTACATGGGTGACTCCTTTACCCGAATGATTGGGTACTTTCAGTTCGAAGTTTCTTTTGTTTAGCCTAGCTTCTTTCACGTGACCTTGACGTTTTGTTGACAAAATAAAAAAAAAAGTTTGAAAACTTTTTTTTTACTTGGTGTTTAAATGTACTAGTTACTCTGTGTTGAATGTTTTTTTTTACCAAGTTACTTTTATTATTTTAGTTGAAAGTCAGCAGAAATCGTCTGTGTTCCACGTTAAAAGTGTTCAGTTATCTCTTTCTGTTGCCATAGTAGGTTAAATTTTGAAAGTTCGCAGACATTGTAATAAATATATTCTAACACTTTTTTTTTAAATTGTTCCCGTGGTCAGTATAATAAAGTCGGGCTCTCACTGCTCATACATTATACGAAAGACAGTGTGCAAACACGAGTCACAGCAATATCCATGATTCGAATGCCGCGTGCCACGTTTTCTCCTTGACTCATTGCCATGCGGCATTCGAAGCACTGATCTCACGGTGACTCGCATTCGAATCTTCATGCAGACAGTCTTTTGACCCCGGCTTTAAGGGACATTCTCTCCACCTTATGTAGACCTTCTCTTTCGGTCTCTACAGTCAGCGAACGTCAGCAGGAATTCACTTTAGTTGTTTTAAAAATACCAAGCTAGTCAGCAAAAAAAAAAAATAAAAAAGCAACAACGATTAATATACACTTAGACTGTGCAGCGTAATAAAAGCAGAGAATAGCGTGACCCAGGCCAATGTTTGGTTCCCCATGTGCATATACCGAAACTCCTCGAAGTCCTTCTACGTAGAGTAGGTTTATTGACTGCCCACGTGCCACAACATGGTGTGTTTTAGCAGGTGTGCCACGTTGTCGGAAACGTTCCTCAATAGCGCTGTACCGGCGAAGCCACAGCCCAAAGGCAGGTTGGTGTCTCGCTGTATAAACACTAAAAATCAAACTCACGCTGGCTCGTACATCCCACAATCATGCATGGTGTCTACTGCGGACTTGATGGAATAATTATCTCCGCATCAATCCAAGCATGTTTGCTTCACACCTATGTATGCTATGGACAAGTCTGTCTATGGACAAGTCTGTAGATGACCAACGTCACAGGGCCGTTGTACCAGAAACAAATTCTCCTCAGACGGTGTCTGCAAACTGTCTTTTGTATGATGTTTAGCGACGTTTAGTGCTGCGAAGAGGGAACAGTGCAAAGGCCTCGTATCTATACACCTTTGCAAGTGGGATCCCGGCTTGACCACGAACCGCGCGCCGAGGTGAGGAATTACCGACCAGGATGTTCGCTGCTTGTCGTTCAATGTTGGCAAGCGTCTCTTGCTGAAGCGTACAACACTGAGCGCAGAAAAAGAACACAAAAAAATATTTCCAAAAACCGTGTTGTCTTTGACCGCGAAAGAACGCATACAATTATATGAAATACCTAAACCGGTAACAAAAGAAAGAAGATGACAAAAATATCTAAAGTATCAAAGCGCTCATCAGACAGCACCGGAAGCCATTAACGATGGCTGCGTTCGCGGCAGGTCTGGCTTCCACCACGTGCTGGAACAGAGGCTGCGATTGTTATAAAGTGATATTCAACCCCTAAACTTGCATCTCCTATACAATATTAGATGATACGATTCTGGGTGGATACCTCCTCCTGCGTTCCGAAACAGTGAGTGCGCCGCTCGCTAACGCTGGCCGTCGGCGATGCATCAGACGCCGCCATCTTGTCCTCGCGCACCCCACCCCAGTACACCCCAACGTGGCGGAAACGTTACGCGGCTCCAGCATCGCTCAAACTAGCAGCATACGGGAGCCTTTCCTGCCGACGCGTGATTCTTTCTCACGAACGTATGGTGGGGCCTGTGCAATACGCGTTCGTTTTCTACCGCACCACAGGGTCAAGCCGGCGTGAGCAAGATGCTCGAGATTCTGAGGGAAGAGCTGGACCGGGCACTCGCACTGATGGGTGAGCGTGTACCTGGTATCTCACAGAGCGCACAGGCAGAAGCGCGGCGGAAGACGGGAGGGGTGTCTGAACGAGGTCAGAAAGAAGGCCGACATTCCACTCGGGCTTCGCGTATCTCCCGGCAGGGGCACTGTCGGGTGGGGCCACGCAGAGCCGTATATTAAGAGAGTTTGGCCAGTGGGTGTGCGACGAAGGCGCCGGAGAGGAGAAAAGGAAATAAAAGGGAGGAGAGCGCCGAAAGAGGGTGGTTATCATTTGAGCCCGTTCTCGTTTCGACCTTCTCACTTGGCCCTTCTCAAAACAACCATTCTCAAAAAGATCTTCTCTCTTGGACCTGTCGCATTTGGTCCTTTTCCGTTTCGTCTTTCGCATTCCAACCCGCCCTTTTCGAAACAGCCATTCTCAAAAATATCTCGCCTTGACCCGTCGCACTTGACTCTTTCTATACCAAAATCGGTTTTTAAGGGTAATATTAATACATTGATATAATTTGTTTGTGTGTGTGTGTGCCAAACTACAGGCACACTTTCTCTGCTAAGGATTTTAGCAGTGCGTCGACGTCGTCGTGACAAACTATTAGCTGACAATAAAACAGACCAACTATTTATCACAGCCAAATCATGTTCCGAAATGTCACTTTGTTTGCGGTATCTTGACTTGGGACAATGCCACCGCTTCTATAATGCAGTGGTTCTCAAAAGGGGGTCTGCGAAGACATCCTAGGTGACCGCGAAGCCCTGTCTCATCAGTCAGGCAAGGCGATATTGTTGAGAAGAAACGCTCTAATTTTCGGGAGAGTACTCTCGTGTATATGTCAATGAGATAAGTCTACTTTACACTAGCAATTAGTTATATCCATTTATTAAATCATTATCATGATAACATGTACATTTTTATTCTCCTCACCCCGAACGGGGTCCTTCATCATCTCTGTCTTTCTATAAGGCGTCCGCGAGACATCAATGGTTGAGAACCACTGCTAAAATGTATGCTATTTCTGTTGAAACAAAGTTTCCAAATTAAATCTTCATCGCTTTTTTTCTCTCGTTTGCTTAGAGGAAGGGAAGCAGGCGTCAATGTACGATTCCCAGTGCGTACCTCTTCACATAACACATATCTAATGTTATGTTGGGGGCCCAAGCAATAACATATATCTGATGGTATTTTGGGGGCCCAAGCAAGGTAAGGCTTATCAACAAAGCCGCGAAGGCATAACGACGTTAGAACCATGCCGAACTATAGTGCCATTCGGTCGTAGCGCGAACGGGCGAAATGAGAATGGGTCCAGTTGCGAAAAACACGATTCGGATCTTATGAGAAGGTTCAAACGAGAAGGACCAAATGAGAATGGGTCGAAATGTGCAAGGTTCAAATGCGAATGGGACATTTTGAGATACACCCCCGAAAGATCGAGAGAGAAAGAAGGGAGAGGAGAGGAGACGACCGCCATTTTTTAGCAACGCTGTCGGAGACTGGTCGGAGAAGAGCACTGCTAAGGCTACGCCTCGTCTGCTACGGGCCGACTTCTTTTTCGCCTGAATAAAAGTTTGTGGCCATACGCCGAAAAATCTTCATTTATTAGCTTTTTAACCCACCGAGGAATAACAGAATGTCATTTTCTTGCCAGAGCCAGCGATATAAAAGGCAATAATCGAGATTTAGATGCCGATCCTACGCATTCCGCCGGGAGAATGATCGAAGATGGCGGCCCTCCCCACTCTGGTGGGAGCAGCCGGGAGTTCACGCGCATGCGCTCATGTCTCTCGCTCTACGCCGCGTGCTGATTGGCTCACTTGGGAGAAGAGCGTTGCGGCGGCGAGATCATGGACTGACCAAACTCTCCCCATACACGGCTCTGGGACCACGTGGAGTTCCTGTATAGGCTCCCTACGGGAGCTACCGCCACGCGGCGCGGCCGCGCGCCGCGTGGCCTTGACAAGGGGCGGGCGAATAAGGACAATTTCTCGACTCTTGTCATGTTGCGAAATCTCACAGCGTTTGTCAGAAATGCGAGCCAACCTTCGACACACTTGCCATGTGGCAAATGGGCTGCGCCATTGCAGTCACCTCTCTCGTATTACACCGGGGGCGGAAGTATATACCGGTAATATTAATAACGTAAATGTGCTGAAATACGTAAAAGTCAGGCATAAAAATTGACCAGGAAGTAGGATTCGATTTTTTTTAATTAAAATTCAGGGCAGCGTTTTGTGTTTATTCCTGTCCCTCTGTTTCACTTTTACGACCGACACCACAAGCGTGCATTGCGCCTAATGTGGCATACCAAGGCGCTGACGCTCTGCGATCTACAAAGCATTCAACGCCGCCTTTCACGTCTACGTCACCAAAGACAACGGATATGCATTGCTATTGAAATAAATAAATTGAAAGAGTTTTTCGCCTAGTTCCAGTTACTAAATCACTTGCTATAGTTTTCTTTTAGAGCGCAGCTCTTAGGCGCCCGTATCCGGCTCCCGCGTCCCATAATGCAACGCGCGGTTACGCCGTCGGCGTAACCGCGCGTTGCATTATGGGACGCGTTACTGGTGACGTCACTGATGACGTCATCAGTGACGAGGACGAGGACAATGACGATGACAATGCCGATGACGTCACCAGTGACGATGACAATGCTGATGACGTCATCGTCACGTGACCTGGCAGGGGTCACGTGACCCTCGTGAGGCGATGGCGACGCCGCTCGGAGGGAGGAGTAGCCGACAGGATGAGGAGGTGAGGAGGGAGGAGGGGTATACCTTCCCCTCAGAACCGTTCCCTCCTCCTCAAAAGCTGCGCTCTGATTGGCGTTACAGGGAGTTGTAAATGGCTTTCATTTCTTTTTTTCAATTTAGCGAAGTCTTGTATTATAGGAACTTTTTTTTTATAGATGAACATGGGTCGCCTAAAGGCGTTTGAGGTTTGTTCCGGGTATCAATAAAGAATGCTTCATAGCCACAACTTTCAGAATAGTGGGGCTGCAATCACATTCAGTCAGTGTTCAACGTAATAAATGAAAAAAGTGGCCTTAGCTCGCATCATCATTCACCAATGAAAACAAAAAAAAAAAGACAAAACCAACCTTCAAGCCAAGAACAGACCACAGCACAGGCACGTTTGGGTCTGTTGACTCATCAGCTGCCTAAATGAGGACTAACTGAGGGAAATTATGAAAACAAAAAATGACCTATTAAAGTACAGTTTTCAAAGCATAAATAGTAGCAATATTCCCTTCCGGGAGGCAACAAAGCTCCCCTTTGTGCCCCTCCGGGAAAAATGGGTATCCAATGTTCGACCTCGGGGACGGGCTATACGCTTGCGGCTTGGTTGGGTGCTGTCGACACCGGGTTGCTCCTACAAGTCACTCGAAACAGGGACAACGAACCGACTAGAGCTCGGTTGTAGTTGGCTTCCAAGAAGGCGAGTTTGTTTCAGCTCTATATTGTCACGATTAAAGATGTCAAGAGAACGAACAGGGAACTGAAAATAAAAGGCTTAATCGGCGAATTTGGGAAAAATACAATTAGGAACGGGCGTCGCGGCAGCAGAAAAGCGGGCGGCGATTTGGCGGCGTAACAGCAAACGAGAGCGAGACTGACTCGACAAAATCCCGCACTGCTCCTTATCTAGTGTGCGTGAACATCTCGAAAATTCGGCAAAGGAGCTTCGAGTGTCGCGCGGTCGGGGCAAGAATGAACAGGGACTTTCGAGAACAAGAAAGCAGGAATGAACGATAAAAGTTACGTGCGGATCAAGAGTAAACGCGAATCTTCTAAAAGCCCGTGACCGAGCGTTGCTTTCTCGGCCCTGCGAGCAGAAATATTCTGAATTTACTGAAGCTAGTAACGATTTCTGCTTTCCAAGACCGCCGTCTTACCGGAAACAATGGAGGGTGAGGCCTGGAACCGTAAAACGTTCGGCAGGTGTTTTGGCTGCTTTCACAATGATGTCTGCCTGCCGGAGGGTTCCACCCTAGTAGTATAGTAGTATTAGCAGTATACGATAACACGTAACGTAAGGAGTGAAGAAAGCAACGCCGTGATTTTTTTGTTTTTGTTTTCGAGGGCATACGTGGGAGCGTGCGACAGCCAGCCACTCAGCTGGTGACAAGAGCTCTACCTTCTGTTCGTCTTCCTGCGTTCTTTTGCGAGCCAAGAAGCAAGTTGAATAATTTCCCAACAATATTTCGATAAAATTTCGCGAGCCTCATTTTTTGTATCGTGAAGAATGGCCCGCGGACGAAGCGGCCACACCTGATGCGTGCCGGGATGCAGAAATAGCATATTGCCGCGCGCGCATTTGACCGAAGGCAACCTTAACCAAGTGGCAGCGCGCTCGTGGCCTAACGGTTATCGCGCTTGCATTCCACTCAAAAAGCCAAGTCCCGATGCCTGGCCGCGGGTACACATTTTTGTTGACTTTGTAATGTAATGTTCTGGTAAATTCGAGAAACGCGTTGCTGATTCGAGGTTAGAATGTTCTACGCGCCGAACGTTCCAGGCCGAATGTTTCAGAAACCCGCGCCGGTACAAAAGGTACTCCGCGTGGCGAGCCGAAGTCAGTCTCGTCCCAGCGCTCGATCCTGCTGTTTCGCCGACATCGACGCCTGCGACGCTAGTCTTTCTCTAATTTGTTTTGGGCACAAGTTCGCCCCATGAAACGTTCAGTTACTTCAGTTATTCGAAGCCTCATCATTTGTCATTCGTGACATTTTGGTGGAGGTGCGGGGGAGTCATCGTCACGGTATTCTTTTTTGGCGTCTGCGTCAGGAATCCAAATCCCGGGAGTAGGCCTTTGGTGCGGCGGCTTGCTCGGGCGTCGATGTCTTCTGCGAAAGGTGGCCTTCCGAGGCTGAGCAGCTCACTTGGCCGGGGTGTCTTCCGAGGGGTACGCTTCACGGGCATGCGTTACCCACCACCTCCACCAAAATGTCACGAATGACAAATGATGAGGCTCCGAATAACTGGAGAAAGTAAAGTTTAATGAGGCGAACTTGTGCCCAAAAACAAGATAGAGAAAAACTAAAAAATGGAGAAAGGATGTATCATGGCTCCATAGTGTGGTTCCGACTAGGCCGGGCGCTAATTCCAGCCTGAGACTAAATTATAACCCCCCGGGCCAAGCCGTGGAGTTGCCTTTACGACAATAACGGGTGCACGACTACGGCTCCGACGCCCGATCGGGTGTCGTAGTAGTTGTCGATAAAACGAGCGGCGATGAAATGTTGTCGATGAAAAATCGTCAATGAAAAGTTGTTGAAGAAACGATACGGACCAAGCATTGGCAACTCACGGCGCTCCAATCATATTTGAGAAATGCCGACTTACCTTCGGATCTCAAAAGTTCAAGGCCGAGCGTCGTCGTCTCGTGGACACTCGAAGGTACTAATCGACTCAGGCTTGAAACTCAAATCCGTTATATGCCGCACCGGCAGTGCATCAAAAGGCCCCCAAAATTCCCTGCGCCGTGCGGGTCACGTGAGGCCTGAGCGATGCATTGTGGGAACTTTCGGTAGGATCTATTACGCCATGGATTTTAAACAACTAAATTTTTCAACATTCCCGTTGTTACCTCTCTTTTATCTCGATTCCCCATAAGTTATGCTTATATGCGGTGCTATTGAAGGCCCAGGCGCGAGAACAACCGGGTCTAAATCATGCCTCTATTAAACGCTGCACAATATTTTAGAGAAGGAGCCTAACAGGGCTTCTCGCCACTTTATTCCCGCTAAAAAAGCAGTCACATCGCAAAAATGCATAAACTCTTCCTTGCGAACTCACGCCGAGATGGGTGCGCTGCATGGCTAAGAAAGTCTGCACTGATGTTCCTCCTATCGAAAGACCAGTGCTTGGCTTGCGCAGTTCCGTGGGTAGATGCGCCTGTTTATGTGCAGCGCATTGGTGTATATAATCAGAATGAGAATTTGAAATAAAAGTGTAAGTTTATAAACATCTCTTTCTTTATCGCTCCGCGCAGGGTGTTCTTCCGTCGACCAACTTCGGCCCGAGATGGTTGTTCACCAACGGTACTACTCCGATCTCTTGAAAAGAAACCAAAGACAGTCGTGACGGTGGCTATAGAAGGAGTGACAACTTCAGGCTTCAAGTCGGTTACCTCAGATCAAGAATCAACTCGAAATGGGTACACTGCCTCCCTTCTCGTTTCCCTTATTTTCGGAGTCAATGCCGCCAGATACGCACTCCAGGAACAAGTTAAGGATGTGAATTTTACATGCAACCCCGCCGGAAATGAACTTATTAAAATGTAGCCCAGAATCATATTGTAACGGACTCATCCGTCGAAAAATGAGTCCGACTTGAAGTTTACATTTTGGTGAACATCCCGCGGGCGGAATGTTCTTCAGGTACTGGACATGAGCAATGCTCCTAGGCTACCGGCCTACTTCCCTCCCGGGTCAAGGCTGCCTCTCGCCAACGGACAAGTATTTTTTTTCCTAACTTTGGACCGTGGGAACAATGCGGCATGGCCGGTGCCCATGTCCAGCACTTGTTGGGCCTCAAGACCAAAGTGAGCCAAGACCCTATCCGCTGTGACGACCGTCTTTGGGGAGAACCGCACCATGATCCGGCCCGTCGCATCCCGCCAACGTCACTCCTTTTTTTACGTTACGAATTCCTCCCTGTTTAGCTGAAAGGTCCAAATCTCAGCACCAGCACATTGACTCATACCAAAAGTTTCACACATACACAATCGTCAACGAACCAAACGCAAATGTCACATTATGAGCGCTAGAAAACTATCAGTCGACACATACAGTTCAAAATAATGCTCATCTACAGATAAAAACTGTATACCATGCCAACTACCTATACTTACAGATCCAAAAACAAAATATTTAAGCTCAAAATCGTTAGGTTATTTACATTCAAAATATACCGTAATTATAATAAATACGGAGAGCTAACTCTGAGATTTAATATGAAACCTCAGATGGGTCACAAGACAGAAATTTTCAGATCTTGTCAGATATCGTCAGACACAGCTTGACATTTTGTTTTCTCCAAAAGTATAGTTTCGGTTTGTGTATTAGGTATGTGAACCTTGTATGGTGTGTGTCGGTGGTGTTGTTGTCTACATAAACATATCTTGACATATTAAAAGTTTTGTTCGATTGCAGCCGTTTGCTCGTGACTTCGGCCCAGGTCGCTAGGTCGCTGCACCACATTAGCGACGTGGATGGGTAGTTTCCCTATGAGGCGTTACTTCACCGGTAGCCGCTCCGCACGTGACTACGCTACCATGAAACGTAACGCGTTACCGGTAACGCCGTTACTTGTAACGTGTTACGGCCAACTGGCCCCGGCTGAAGATGGTGGCGTCCGCTGCATTATCGCCGATGGCGAGCACCAGCGAAGCACTTACTATTGCGGAAGATTGGGTGAGGTATCGAGAAAGTAACACAGCAGCAGACATTTTCGGAAGAGGCATCATCTGGGGCGAGAGCTGCCGCGAAAACTATCACAACACGTCGCGGAAGCTTGGCGAAAGCCAAGACTCGGCGAGCGCGGCCATTGTGATGTCGGTGCCGATAAGACTTTCCTTATGACTCTCTTGCTTGAATTCGTGTGAAACGTTCGGATCATCGGGGGGAGCGTTGAAAAAACAAAACACATTAGTCGTTAGTTGTTTATACAGCCGGAGTTTTGTCTGCCAGAACATGGCGACATTGTTACCCACTGTAGATAATCCATTTAGCCAGTGCAGTACGACTGCTAGCCTAGGGTCTTAAACGTGCACCACACAGTAGTGATACACGATCACACGCTGGTACGATGCTCATCCAGATTGAAACGGGCAGGGGCGGAGATTGCATGAACCCAGGATCCCTGAGTTCTGCAGCGCTTTCGTTCCACTTGCTCCGAGCTGGTGTGCTCTAGCCCACTCGGCCACCGATCCCCGGGGAAGCGTTGAGGTAGGTACTTCAGATAATAATAATAATAATAATAATAATAATAATAATAATAATAATAATAATAATAATAATAATAATAATAATATTTATTAGGCAGGAATTCAGAAACACAGTACAAATACGGGTCTGTCCAAGCCACAATGGGCTTGTGGGACAGGACCCGGCAAGTCGGACGACGAAAACAAATCAAATGGCTAGTAAAAAGATGAAGAAATAAACAATGGGTAACATTTCGTCAACACAGGGGGCACAAAGTACTAGAAGCAAATTTTGGGTAATCGCGCTAATTTTGGGTAATAATGATAATAATAATAATAATAATAATAATATTAATAGGAGTTTATTTTCCAACAAAGTACAGGTTGGAGGGCGGCTTGGAAAAAAAGCTGTTAGCACAGCTTGACTGGTCCCAAGCCCCAAGGGAAAGAACATCGACGTCGGAGAAGAGCCCGAAGTCATCGAGTCAGCCATGAAAACGGCGCTGTCTTTCCAACGAAGGCTTGCCCCGCCGAAGAGGTATCTTCGACACGTTCAAGAAAAGTTTGGAAGCTGGCTGGAACTCGACTCAAACCATACTTCAAGCCACCGGCAAACCTCAGAGTGATCGAGGACAGCCGAGCTGAAGACGAGTACACCCTAAATTTTCTAACGTAGTCCGCCTTCCTTAAAGGAGCGGTGCAACGATATTCAGTTGGAATGTTTTTCACTTTACACGAGCTTACTGGCACTAGTGAGACTCAAGGATACTCGCACGCAACGCCACTGCCCAAGAAACGCCTTGGTTGCGGTGTAATTTCAAGGACAAAAGTGATCATTTTCATTCAATCTCTCCTTGGCAAAATTTGATGACGTAACGTGGGGATCGCAGTACGCCCATATGACGATATTTGAATGCGGTTCATAGACTGGACCCGAGCATTGCGTGGACACTCGATTTGGGCTCGTGATAATTACTAGCTCGAGAAGCATTCGGGTAGTGGCCCGTGTCCAATCGCTGCAACGTCGGCAATAGCCGAACCATAAACATGTCTGGAACTCAACGCGTGTCCTGTGCTTTGCCAACCCCGGCGCGTGGCTATGATCAACATTGGCGGCATATAATCGGCTCCAGATCACGTGGCCGCTTGTTCTGGCTGCGAGTTGAGGGGGTGAACGCTGCTCGTTTTTCTATATTTTTTTCCGGGACTTCTATTGCGTGGGGTGAAAAACGAACGCGTGTTTCATAGGTCATTAACGTCAGGGATCCGTTCTAAGTGGTATATTCGCAATGTACAAAAATTGTTGCTTCGCTCCTTTAAAGGGCCCATGAAACAAATTATGAACTAACATAAATGTTTTTAGATTGGGATTTTACTAATAGCATATCGTTTAGTGGGCCAAAAGAAAGAAGAAAGAACGTCAAAAGCCTGACTTTCGGTACGAAAATTTGAAGACACAGCGGACTATTTCGTACCTCCTTGCCTTCCAAGGCTCTCTGCCTTTTCACTGCGATACATCCGCGGTGCCCAAAGCGCGTTATCCGGCCTAAACACACGCCACACGACACCGGACCTCACTCGTTCTTTTCACACCTAAGCTGACAGTGCGGCGGAAGCTATGCGCTTGCAGGACCAATCAGCCGCCTCTTTTTCATCACCTGACCTTATTCCCTTCGCGTGGGTATGCGTGAGGGAACGTGATCACGTAACAAAAGTGTAGCTGGCCCAAGGAGCACGTAGTTTCCACAGCACTAGCAGCTTAGTGGTGAACGGGGTGGGAAAAGCAACTTTTGTCCGAGTTTTGAGCGACAGGCTATTTATTCTTCTAGGAGGAGGATGGCGGTGGTCCCGGGTACACAAACGAGGGTCTTCCTTTCCGTCCTTCCCGTCTTCTTGAACTGTTTGGTACAATGCGCCATTTGTGAGTTGAGGAGGAAAGCTAAAAAGGAAAAAGTTGAAAAATCGTTTTATGACCCCTTTAACACCTAATAACCATAAATGTAGGAGGTTTAGGGTCTAAAAAGAAACAATATCAGTTGTTGTGCCTTCTTAAACAGCAGAAAGTCGACATTGCTGCGCTGCAAGACACAATGTTACCAACAGGTGAAAGCGTTGCAAAGGCGTTGGAGCCCTTTTTGAAGGAATACGAGATCTGAGTTAGTCAAGCCACTGGTGTTTCCGCTGGTTCTTTCTTCTTTTTCCCAAACAACTTGATATGACATACGTTTCAGTGCTTATTGACCCGGAAGGGCAGCTTATTTCCGGTGACCTTACATTTAGGCAGATGAATTTTCGCTTTATTTGCGTATACGCCCCTAATTCTCCAAAAGCTAGAGCCTCTTTCTCCGAACTTCTAAGACCACTTTTTAAACACAAGTAGAACATGAGTTACCATGGGCGATTTTAACTGTGTTTGTAGTGCAGACGATAGATCAGCATCACAAACGAGCTATGACGGAACTGCCGCTGGTCTTCAGAGTATGCTTCAAGACCATAACCTTGTTGATATGGCTTGCAGGAGATCTGAACCGATACGCTCCACATATTACCAAGGAATCACACACGCACGTTTAGATCGGATTTATATCTCAGGAGATGTAATTGATTCTACGAGCAAGTACTGTGTTAAACCGGTGTTATTCTCTGTTCACTGTCTGGTTTCAGTCAACAAAGTCACCGAGGTGATGACCCCCAAGGGGAGTTCCGGAAACTTAATTTAAAACTTCTAAGTTATGATACATTAAAAAAACAAAAATAAGCTCGGGTTTGTCTGATGCGACCCAGAACACTCGCATGCACATTTTCGCTCAATGGGACAGTTTCAAACAAGAAGCGAAACATTTAACAACCGAGCGCTCTGCACTTCTATCATATTTTAACAAGCAAGAACAGCGTGGCATTTTAAAAACTTTCGCAAAGTTCCATTAACTTGAATGTGGAAAGCCTGGTACACATAGTGACGATATTAATGTATTGCGGGCTCTACTTAAAAAACACGAACCCGAAAGGTATACTGAGGAGCTTTAATTCGTTCACGGAAGAAACGCTTCCTGTTGGGCGAACAGCCTATAAAACGATCTCTGGAGGACGAAAGGCGTTACGCACTTTCCGAAAAAATTGCATAAATTAACACCAATGCCTCGATACTCCCTAATTAATCAGAAATTGTAAAACATTTTCATGATTTCTACGCCAACATTTTTGGAAAAACGACAGTAACGAAAGAAAAGGCAGAAGTGGGACAACTTCTAGCGCTGTTGCCAACACTGGACGATAAGAATCGAAGGTTAATTTATAGGCCCATAACAATGAATAAAATAAAGGCCGCCATTAAATTTCTACTTAATGGCAAAGCACCTGGACTTGATGGTCGAATTGGGGAATTTTATAAAAAGTACCGGGACGTCCTATGTCCCGCCCTGTTGGCTGTATTCCAGGAAGCTTATAAGCAAGAAACTCTACCGCCTTCATTTTACTGTGGACAAATGGTATTATTACCAAAAACCGAAGGTCCTGAAATGCTCAAAAATATGAAAAGTTATAGACCTATATCTCTCTCTAACGTTTATTTAAAATGTTTACAAAGGTACTAAACGAAAGACTGCAGTCGGTAATCAAAAAGTTGATTGGTGAACACCAGACCTGCGGAATACGTGGCAGAACTATTGAAACAAACGTAACTGTGACTCGTTCAGTATTAGAGTGCGTATCATATAACAACGAACAAGCGGTATTTGTATAAATAGATCTTGCAGAACCTTTTTACCGGGTCAGTCATTTTAGTTGCACTTCTTAAGTATGTCAACGTGGGAACGACACTTTTAGATGGAATCTAACTTTGCTACATGAATTGTTCAAGACTGATAATCAATCATATAACATCTGATAAAATTCAAGCAAGATCCTCCGTTAGGCCAGGTTGTCCGCTATCAGCGCTTCTTTTTGGTTTCTACTTTGAGCCGTTAGGTTCAAGCATACTTAAAAGAGAAGGTATTCATGGATATTCGCACGTCGAGACATAAGTCCTTGCATACGAAGATGATATCCCATTGCTCTGTGGTGATAAAAAAGCTGTTGAAGACGCACTTTGACCTTACAGCACATCACTGTGCAGTCACGGGAGCTTGGGTAACTCCATCCAAATGCCACAGCTACTGGCATGGTTTCTGGGCCACAAAACCACCTATCTTTGCTAAAATAGCGTTAAATATGGACTCTTTTACATATCTCGAAGTAACACTCTCACAAATTCGCGGCAGTGCATTTTTCTGGACCTCCATTACAGCAACTCTAA